ACTTAAAATTATTTGGCTTTTTTCTCACTTATACTTTCCAATCAGTAGAAATTGACTCATGGCCCATCCATAAAGATTATTTGTATTAATATATAAGATTCATGTTGTAGGTTGGGATGGATCATATTCATCTCCCATTCTTAGGTTATTAGCTTTAAAGTAACGATGTACCGCCATTGCAATACCACCTCTTTTAGCTTTTTCAACAAAGTCATGTATAGTTATATCCGTGAAAAGCTCGATTTCGACTCTAGTCATTTTAAGCATTGCATCCCAAGATAATGAAGGAGCTAATACATAATGTGCTGAATCGAGATCATAATGTTTCATAGATGTTTCTCGAAATTTTATAAAGATATCTGTAAGAAGAAGTACATCAGTTTTGAGATATAAATCATGATACTCACCTAAATTTCTACATCCAAATTCTTTCCATACTTTTTGGGCATGTTCATAATTCTTTTGTGTAATTTTTCCATTAAGCTTTCCACCGAATGCCTCAATTGGAAGAAGCTCAGTTTCATTGAACCTGTCATCAGAATTGATATACTCATATGGGAGTTCTCCTTTACTACATACTAATGTTATTTACTTAGATGAATATTCCAATTTTTCATAATGTTGTTTTGTTATTTTATAATTTTTCAAAGTCCCAATGTATCGATCTTTATCTATTCTGTGATAATGCTTACAGTCTGCATCCTTGTATTTAATAGCACCTAAATTATCTACAAGTTTGGCCAAGCTAATAACATAAATTAATTACTGTTTATATATTTCATTTGGCCTACCTTCATCATTTTATATTGTTCAAAAATTTCTGCAATAACTGTAATCTGGTGTGCGTTGACAGATCGACCGACCAATTCACAAACCAGATGAGAGTCATAGCCTCTGAAATTATGAAACACTATTGGGACTGGTGTCTTTCATGGTTAAATTCGAAGTTGAAGATTACAATCATTATGTGCTGAACCTCAATATTTACCTGTGATATGATTGTGATCCCAAACCTTGTCACCATCTAATGGCTTTTTACAAATTCAACATTCTGTAGATGCGTCAAATTTTTGCTTTGCTATTAAATAATCTGTATTAGTTTTATCATCAACTTCAAAGATTATATCATCTCTAATATCATTATTGATCGCTAAGACTTCATTAATTCGAACTAATTCTTTATCCATTCTTCGAACAAATTCTTGTGTGGCATTTAGTCCTCAGTATGTAAAAGGTCCCCAAACCTCTCCAGTATCAATTCAATAAACTGAGTAACAAAAGCTACTAGGTATCTGCTCACCAAGTTTATGCATGCTTCTACTATATGACTCATAAAATTTTTTATTTTTTGACTTAAAATCTGCATATATTATACAAGGAGCATACATTATCCTTATATAGTATTTGAATTTTTCGATATCATTTATATCCTTAGTGGATATGTCTACTTTTTGTGGAGCTTCTCCCAATCTATAGCAATGATCTTGATGATAATTCTTTGAATTTTCTGATGGAAAACTCCAGAAGCATCAATTGCAGAGATACTTTTTTTTATTATGTTTTGTATCTTTGAATACTAATCCATCCGAATTTTTAATCTATAGAAAATGATTCCTTTGACCATATTTACCGGTATCTTCAGATTTATTAATATCAATAAGAGCCATAAGATGAATGATATGTGGTCTTTTTGTCATGCACTCATTTGATCTTGGATAGTTACATCCTGTAACTTGACATAAATTAGGTATGAAGAAATTTTTATCAGCAATTACAGGTTTTGGAGTAGCAGTTTCCTCTTTCCATTCCCATATATTAATTGAGATTTCTGGATTTTGGGCTTTAATCTTTTGAAAAGTTCTAGAGCAAATAGGTGTTGGCATTGGAATACCATCCAAATTAATTGTATTCAGATATGGTATAAGGTAGGAAAGACGTTGTAAATTTTTGATCACACCTCCATTGTTTACAAAGTATGCACCTAAAGCATATTGTAAACACTTATTATCTCCTAATTTAGAGTTATCTGGGTTAATTGTACATTTAGTATTGGCAAGTCTTTTTGGTGTTGGTTTATAAGATCCTTCAACAGCTCTTCTATATGTATAAACATTAATATATATCATTTCTATTCGAACTAATGTCAATTCAGATCCATTGCTTAAAAACTCTTCGATTTTTGTGTCTATTTCTCCAGTTGATAATGTTATATGCTCATCTATATCTTGTTCTGAAAGAATAACTCGTATCTTTTCAAGGTGATATCTTTGGATATAAAATGGAATCTCTACTTTATAATCCCCTTTATTTTTCTTTTCCATTTTCATATAATTACAATATACCACTATTGATGATTTTACCTGGTCTTTTCTTCGGAGTTCAGCTTTAAGTACATTTGTAATTTGTTCTCGAGCTGAAGCCATAAGGTGAGGTATATATGGAGCTTCTGCATATTTTTTTGGATCATCTATAGATATATTAAATTCATATACTGGGTTTTCATATTATGGGACAATTGCTTGCCATTTGGTTAATGAAGATAAACTTGAATGTGGTCTATTTGAATCTCCAACTTCGGCTTCCTCAAAGATAATATCTCCTGATGGTATTGGATATTGAGTGGCAAATCCTCCTTTTATATATTTTTCTGAAATAAAATTTTTACTCTTTGCCTTATCTGCTATGAGAGTACCTCCCAATTCAGGCCAGATTTCTTCGATTTTTAGTTCTTCTATTAACCCCAATGCAATAAGATAATTGATTTCCTCCTGAGTGATATTAGGATTTGATAACTTGCCTTCTCTATATACTTGGGTTGAGGGGCCTGAACCAGCTTTTAGATTAATCTGTGGAATTTGATCAGGTAGTTGTGATGATGAAGATTTTGTTAATATATAGGGTGCTATTGTTCTGATGTTATCTTTAACCTCATTTAACTCATCCAAATCTGAACTAATATATGTAACTATACTACTATTTTCATATCTTCTCTCTAAAGTATATCCTCCGATTCATTCTCTTTCTTGCCATACTTCTGGGTTATTTCGTAAAATGGATAAGAATGTATTTTCTATACAACTTTTAAGATTTTCTTCTCTTCTATGTAACCATTTTTGATCCTGTTTCGTACCGTTAACTTTATCTGATCGATCTGCAAGATGAGTAGTCCTTTCTTTATTACTTTCATCTTGACGCTTATTGATTATTAACCTGGTATGTTATAGAGTATTATCCATTTTCTGTTTGTTGGCATGTGGTGATAAGGTTGACAAAGAAGATGGAACAAGTTTTGGGTTGATTTGTGAAATTGGTTTTGGTATCTTAGGAGATTGAACTACTTTGGGAGCATGTGTTCTAAAAGTAGCTAGAACAGGTAATAAAATAGGACATTTGTGTTTCCTATTTAAGTGTATATCATGATCTCGAGTCTTTTTGAAATCATTTTTTCCATACCTGGGACATGGGGATATCATTTTAGATATAGGTGTTGGTAATCTGTTGTTTGTATTAATATACCAGATCTTTTGTTTAAATAAAAATTATTCATTTTTATATTTTATATATCATGCTAGAAGATTATACTTGTAATTATTTGCATAACTCTGGTAAAGTTTGTGGACGAGGTTGTCGACGCCCTGAAGGTTGTTTTGATCATTGGAAGTCTAAAAAGTGTGTTCATTGTAAAGTTTGTGGTAAGCCTACTAGTTCTGAACTTGGATTATGTAGAGCTCATGTTAAAGGGTATTATGTTATGAAATACTTATATAGACAGAATTCGGAGTTATGTTATCAAAAAATTTACACCAATTATGAGTTGAGTATAGAAAAATTTACACCAAATAGTATATGATATCAAAAAATTTATACCCAGGTGTATAAATTTTTGGGTTAGAAAAGTAGTGAAGAATCGTCTTTAGATTGAATTCTGTTATATTAATTAATATTGATATGCAATTTAAGCTTGATTCACGTTCGAGAAGGGATCAAGATATTCATTAAATTCATATCCTTCACCACTTTTCTTGGACTTTTTTAATGGCAAGCTGTATATCATAAATAATTGATATCCTTTTTGATATGAATTTGTGTAATTAAATGTGTTCTAGATATATATAAAATTAATATACTTTGATATAAAAATGACGTGCAAAATTTTTTTTTCGCCACACAGAAACTATGGTATATAGGATCAAGTTCCAGTGACTTGAAAAGCTTGAATTGATATACAAAAAAATGATATGCTTGGTGATGATTTTGAAGTGTGAAATATAGCAAGATGATTAGTGTTGAGCCAGAACACCCATTTTTACTCTACTAGTGCTAATCACTTTTCTTTTTTAATAGCCCTCATAAACTATTTAAAAAATTTTGAATCCGCTTCATAATCGTATTCAGAGTTCTTGATTCTAAACCGTGCCGTTATCATCGATTCGTCACCTTTCGTTAATAATTGGAATACACTCGACGGAATGTGAATTAAAAGATTCCTGTTGTAAGCAAGGAAAGAACTGTACCCATCTGCTGAGGATGAGTTGGATGAGTTTAAGAAGAAGATATTTTTTTTTAGTTATGGGTAAAAAGAAAACTCTTATACACGTATTACTTGTATTGGAGTATTCAAGTATTACTTGACCCAAGTGATAGAATGGGAAACTCTATACACGTACTACTTATAACTGGAGCATCAAGTATTACTTGTCCTACCCATTGCGACCCCTTCTTTGTTTCGATTTTAGTTTGGTTTGTTGAATATTGGAATGTTGAAATGTATATTCTAATTATTTATTCCATTTTAATAAGGTGGACCTTGAGCATAACAAACTTAACTTATGTTCCTTTTGGCAAGAGGTGATCATTGAACCATTACGGGTGAGGATATTATAAAGAATTTTTTGATATCATTCATATATTTTTCTGAAGAAATCTTTGCAAATTATTTTAACAGTGTAGAGTTCAAGGAACCTTTGATGAGAAAACCCTTCTTACGTTTGATGAATCAGGTCAATATTAGGAAGACAATTGTGCAAACCATACAAAGAGGAGGAGGTGTCTTCAGGCGATAAACGTCCCAATATAGAAGCAGATTTGACTTCGCTATCACAAAAACGTTTATACATGACTGAGAAAGAAAAAGAAATTATTACACAAGAGAATGATGAAAATATCACTTAAGAGGTCATGTTGAACTCGGTTACCGAAACTTTCAATACTTTTAATGATGTCCAATTTCCAGGGTATTATGATAAGCTCAAAGCAATATGGTATACCTGTGAAGCAGGACAGAATATTATGTAATCAATTTGGGGAATAGAGAAATACTAAGCCAAACACATGATCTTTTGAATGAAGATGAATTAAAATTATTATTTGATAGATTAACTTTGGATGACGAGAACGATCTTATATATAAGAATATACTTCAATATCTAACGTTATTTGATCAAATTATTGAAGAATATTCGGATGTTGAAGAGGGTGACGATAATGTGGTTATAAAAAAAAAGCATCCAAATCAAGGATGAAGTTATTTTAAAAATGGAAAAGAAATTAAAAATTTGAACAGACTAAACACAAAATTCAAATATTTGTCACATACCCTACCAATTCTGATAAAAGAGTATGATGAAATACTTTATCCTGACATACACATCATTGAAAGTATTTCAAGTCACCTAAGTGCAATTTCTAAAATGGATCGAGTTACTTGATAGTCTAAAATATCCCAGTAAGAAACACCATCTATACACTTTTTTATGCCAATGTTTACTAGATTAATGCCATTTTTTGAATGTAGCCTTTTGGAAGGATACTTTCAAACCTTCACTCAAAGACTTTTTGAACTTCCGGTATCTGGAAGGTGATTTGGCTGATCTGACAACATAATATCTTCGATATAAAGCAGAGCTGGATACCATAAGTGACTATTATGATGAGACTTCTGAAGTTGGAAAGATGATATAAAATTGTATACAAGGTTTTTTGATAAATGTATTTGGATATTTCAAATATGGCTTTTGTAAATTCAACGGACCACTTTACATATTTGCACGAGCTATTTTATGGATTGCGTATTCATAAGGAATGATTGCGTATTGCTCGTTGTAGTTTTTAATTGTCCATCATAGCAGAGGACTTTAATTGTGTATATTACACATAATTACACAGACTAGCTTGGGGATTGCGTATTGCCAAAAAATGACTGCATGTTGTCTGTAGTTGTTTTGTAAATATTATACAATATTTCCTATAAATATGCTTGATTAATTAATTTAACATTCTTATAATAGAAAGAAAAATGCAGTAGATCAATAAAATTCTTTTGGGAATTACAAGACATTTGTAATGAATCAGAGCTAGTCGATGAGAAGTCAAAATTGCAATGGGTAAATTATTTTCACAAAAATCATCTATAGAGTATACTTTTATTAAAGCTTGATCTTTAATTTTTATTTTAGAAAGAAGGGATATTTGAATTTGAAAAAACGGGACCTTGCCATCTCCGAGAGACCTCATATGCTGTGCAAGAAAAACAAATTTCAAGTTATACATCCTACGAGAGTCTGAAATACAAACAAATAACGTGAGTCTCAAGAACACGACCCATTGATTTTAAGGTTGATCATAATGAACTTGTTATTTTCTTTTATTACTAGGTGTATGACAGAGCTAATATCTGCACACCAAAATGAGCCATTACGCTAAAAAATAAAGAGAACGAAAATTTATATTACAATACTTCACCAAAGTATATATACAGAAAACCATTACCAAACTTTTTTTTGGTGAATCAACAAGGAAAAAAATGTGGTTTTGAAGCCGAAGAAGATGACGATGATGATGATGAAAAATTTGATGCAAGTCTAACGGTTGTTGGTAGAAAAAGTGCTGAATGGATTGTAAATAATATTCGAATCAGAGAACGTCTCAAAGAATACCAGTTGGAGAAAAATCCGTTCAAAATGAATTCGGAATATTATGATGTTATATTTTTCAATTCTAAAAAAGAAAGGTTTTTAAGGACATTGGATGAAAGTATCTTAACACAAATGCTCAGCGATATAAGTGAGAAAGAAATTGAAAATACTGTAGAAAATGAAATCAAATTGCTGTTAGATCATGTCATTGATCGTGATATTAAAAAACTCAAAAAAGTAAAGGAAGAAAACATCGCCTTATTTGAAAATAAATTCGCATTGAATTTCGTGAGGCATATGTGAGTTTATTTTTCTTAATCTTCATTGAGAAATGTGATAGTGACTAATGAGATTAATTATATTTATAGGGTGAGACTAATGAAAGATAACAATTTATTACTTGACCCAATATCGGAAGACATATATATTAATAGTGTCCTAGCGCCCATTTTCGGTGAATTTTTTGTCAAAAATAAAAGAAAATAGCGTGTATCTTACGGCGAAACTTGTCTCAAAGCAAGCGCGAAAGACAAAAATTCCCAAAAAAAAGATTCTGAATGCCGGTTTATCGGAAAGAAAATTGACACCATCATTGAATTGCGAGAAGAGAACAAAGAGTTTTCTGTCATTGAAATTAGTGAACCGCTGATGAAAAATAATTGGCCCCACTATTAAGGTGATCGATTGAAGATTTTCAAAATGTTAAAAACAATAATAAATCATTATGCGGAACTAAACCCGATTTCTGATATTACATTGGTCAAGCTATACGGATTGCAAGCATATTGTAAGTTTTGATTACCAACACTTTTACTCATTATATTATTATTATGCATTACTAACTCTTGGAATGTATAGTAAATGAGATTACTATCTATGAGTTTTGACTTAAATTCGCTGAGATTTATACCATGAAATCAATATTAAAATTTTCCTTTCCAAAAACGTGAGCTGATATGACAAGAGCTACCAAATCTATAATGGATTTTTTGAAGTTTGAGGTTTGTATAGATTATTTTTTAACAGCTAGTTTCACTTCAATAGATCTCAGTATATAAAAAAGATAAGATATAAAAACAATAAAATTAACATTTCGAATTTTGTAAATTAGTCATTGTTAGTTGAAAGCGCAAAATCAATTCAAGATTTTATATGGAGTGGAGGTGATGAAATTGAATCATTTAAGAAAATGACAACACGTATGATCCTTACTCCTACAAAAGACACTGAAGAAACTGAAAACAAGAAAAAAGAAACGAGTTGTTTCATAATTAAAATGTGGTTATTTTATAATGGTCATGTAAAAATTGATTGCGTCAAATGAATCCATAAGCTATTTTAATTTTTGTGGGGAACTTACATAAGCGATACAGAGTGATACAATGAATTATGTATATACAAAACCGTGACAAAATGTCCCGATCGAAAGCGTAAACAAAAATTCTCAATTGTAACATTCATATTAACTGATATATTACATCGACAGTGAGCAAACGAATTGGAGGATTTTCAATGCCAAAAAACTAAATGATGATGCATGTCACAAATTAATAAAAAGCCATTCCAGTATAAACATTTACCAGAACGTGAGGCTCAGAAAAAGGAAATATTGAAGTTAGAGATCAACTCCTTAAAAAGATTTTCAAACCTACAATCTGAAAGAAGGTAGAAAGAGCGAGAAAGATTTTCATGCTTTTTTGTGATAATAGGGAGGGGTTAATAAGACGAGTGCAAACTTATTCTGCAACATCTATTTCAAAATTGAGTGTTGATGACATTGTATACGTAATATCTCGGATTAAAATCAAAAGCCCAGCATAATTAGAGAGAGCCATATAACTTCACATAATATAATGTAGCAAAAATTTATATGTATTAATTTCTGATTATGCTTCATACAAAATAAAAGTTTCGCTTAGTAAAAGTCATTTGCTACGTCACATATCATGTGATCGTGACCTACAGACGATTTCTTGTTTCAATAGATCTAGTTCGGATTTGGTATTTTTTATTGTTTTGTATAAAATACGAATATATTCAAAATAAAAATAAATTCAGAAAAAATTACACATATAAACTTTATTGTTACAATAAAATATAAGGCACGTAGATGCCAGGTACATATATCAGATTCAAAAAACAAATGATAAATTTTTTTGTAATTGTATTTTATTATGATGTTTTTTAACTTCACGTTTGTCACACATTGTAATCCTATCCCTTAATTACTGTTATCTTACCCATAGTAAAAGAAAAATCAATTACTACCCGAAAATAAAAAAAAAATAAAAAATACACATATCGGGTTCTAGTATTATATATGAGAATCGTCATTGAGTATTCATCACCTGTACTGTACAATAAAAATATGTTTAAATGATAATAATCTGACAAATAAAATATATAATTTACGATTACCCATTCATTAACTTATTAACCCACAACTTAATATTGCTCTTTCTGTCCATTCCTTCTATTCGTGACTTTCAACATTTCTAATTAATACTTTCAAATTTTTCCAATTATTAATTAATTAACATATCCTGAATAAATATTCTTGTTATTACAAAGTATCAGCATTCGACATGTATAACTTTTTATGTGTTGAGTTGCATGGTTTGCACATTTGGTATGTAAGGTGAAAATTTACTTTTTTTTTTTAAAAAAAAAAAATTTACATCCGATCTGAATTCATGTTTCAAAGAAAATTGCTTTTATATAAACAAGTAGATTAATAGGTTATGTAACCTCGGGCTTCGGAGACCAACTTTGTGCTGCCAATTGTCATGTCTAAAATATTATTTTTAGATATGCTGTTGCGAATCGAATAAAGCTTTCAGTACACTGTATACATTGACTATTTTAATAAATCAATTATTTATATTGAAATTAATTTTTATTTACATATTTCATTTTTATATATTCCTCTTCAAATTTATAATCGAATTAAAAAAATAATTAATAAAAAGAATAGAATTTATGATCTAAAAAAGAAAAAGAAAATTATTAAAAATAATAATCTAACAGATTATGAAAAAAATATACAGTAAATGTAATATATGTTTATAATATGAATATTTTGGATAAAGTATATATATATAAATATAATAAAAAATATATAAAACGAAATAAACACTCATGACAAACTATCCATTCATCAACTCAAGTTTTAATATTATGTATCAATCAAACCATTCGTGACTTTCAAATTTTTTAAGTTAACTTTTAATTAAAAAATAATTTTTTCTAATGAATTTACTAATATTATCTAATTAATTAATTAAGACTTTCTAGTTAATACTAAGCTTTACCATTAATCAAATTAGTTCGTATAATCAAATATAGCTGGAAAATAATAAATTTCTATTGTATTCATTGAAGTAGTTGATGTTAATGTAATTTCCCTTTCTTTTCTATTAATATACTATTATGATTGTTATGACTATTATTATTTGTACTATTACATACTACTATATTATTTTTCTCGTTATTACTACTTACATTATTAATTTTATCACTATTATCTTTCATATAAATGACATCAGCACCGGATACTTTAGGATATTAACGAATTTGAAGTATAGATCCAATTATTTTTTAAAGAAATAATTCTTTGATAACTCTTTTGTATTATTTTTATTCGGAATGATTGTTCGATATTGATCAAAGTGATACTGTCGCGGTCTGCGCAGAACAAGTGGAAAGTTAAGCCAATCAGTCTTAATAAATTTGGGTCAATCACACGATAATTCAATGTACTACTAACACACTTTCTCTTGTGCACAATATCTTAAAACACAGCAAGACAGGCAATCAGTCGATCTAAACTTGCTTACTAACACTCTCAACAATGCAATTACGTGTAATATCTGAAGGTACGATGAGCAAGTGGAATAAAAGTATCTTTAACAACTACTTGTACACTACCAAAACTATTGTAGACTTTTTGATGTAACTTTCCAAGAAATAAAAGAAATAGTTTATTAAAGTTTAATATTGAATATAACAAAAGCAATATATTTCTGCTTTGGCGTATCTTATCACTTTTGTTATTCCGCTACACTAAATTTATGTTTGAAATTATTACAAAAACATAAAAGAAATGAAAGAGAATAACAATAGCGATATGTTACTGCTTTGGCGTATCTTATCGCTTCGCTAGTCCCGCGACTATATTATTTATGTATTTTTTTAAAAAGTATTACGAATGAAAAGTAAAAATAAAACTAAATTAAAATGTTCAAAATATTTAAGTAAAGAAAATAAAGACTAAAATCGAAATTGTTCGAAATATCAAGTAAAATATTTTTATTTTTGGTTCTTGTTCTTTTTGGCGAAAAGGAATCCCCCTTTTCTTTCTTCCCTACCGCAGCTATTTTATAATTTTTCTCCTTGTTTACCGTCATCCTCTGTCATCCATAAAAACGTTTTCGTGCCAGGATGAATAAACAGTCATCCTGGATGATGGATGACACACAAGGATAATTCATCCAAATAGTGACACATATCATCCTCCATCATCCCCCGTGACTCCGGCTATTTTCGTGCCGCCTCAGTATAATAAACAGATGCTCTACACATAAGACATACGATCATTTTCCGATGAACAGTATCTCCTATAATTATTTTAGGAAAAGCTTAATTCCAAGTACAGCGCAAATACTCTTCGTGCATCCATAATTCACATTTTTCATTCTAAGGAATGATGGTTTGAGCATTGGCTACCTCACAAATGACTCTCGCGTGAGCACAATTCTATGTAAATATATTATTAATATTAGGAAATCAGCTAGAAAAATATTGATAATAAAATACAAACTCAAAGTACGTTCACGTCGCCGGGAGGAGGACCAGGATGTTGAATTAATGGTTGTAAAAAGTGAGCATTACTTGGACAAACCGCAATTTTGTCCCGATTTCGGATTCGGATTGGGTTGTAATGGTCTATAGGAAAAAATGTGAATTTTTATTACAAAAAAAGACCAAGTAGACTGAATGGGAATCACTTACATAGTGAACCATAAACATTTATCATGTTCCCTAAGTTCTATTTCAATAATATATACGTTTCCTCCGTCCCAATGAAACTTATATCCAATTTTTTTCGTTTCTGTTAAGAAAGGTGTCATAATTTTTCCGATCCAATCTGTAAAGGCAAACTGTATCCATATGAATTAACATTAGGCGGATCTTAAAACATCTGCGTGAGGCTTGCTTACCTATCTTCTCTTGGGAGCATTTTGGTAACTTTGGATATTGTGAAATATGTTATCAACTTTATTTCGAAATTTCTTATCCACTGATGTCCAGCCCGAAGAGAACATTTTGAGGAGGGTTCCGTGCGAAAAACGTAAAATAGGCGAAAATAAAATAAGACAAACAAAATCAATGAAAAATCAATTACAAAAATCAATAACAACAAGATAGGCATGACGATAAACTGTACGCTATTTTGTACGAATTTACAAAAATATTTTTGTTTCCCATCCCAAAATTTTCTGTTAAACCATACATTCGTTTATCTGTATACCCACATTTTTCCGTGATTACATGAGGTTGCTCCTTGGAGGATCTAAACATCAAATTGCTTGCACTAACGTTTGTGCAAGTTATGAAGTTCTATAAAACATTTCTCGGTTGAGAATATGAAATATTTCAAATTGTTGAAAAAAAAAAAATAAATCTTTTTCTTTGAGTGGTAATATGCGGTAATGTGTGGTAGCTTATTGTATTTGTATCATTTACACATTTTATATCATTTACTGTATATATATTTTATACGTTTTATATACTTTGCATTATTTTTATTTCGATGTAATATAAATGTAAATGTAAATGTTGTCATCGTGTCGTAATACACATAATACACATATAATATATCAATCTTTTCGCGTCATAAAAAAAAAAGGTTATTGATTGTAATGTTTTGATGCATAAAAAAAGAAAATTGACGAGTCAAGGAAATAATTCTTTAATAACAGAAATGACGTAAAATCAATTCATTATTTTCTAGATAAAGAGAGATAAAGAAAGATAAAGATATAAGTATTTAATACGAAATGTATTGTAATGCTTATAATATAATAAACTATACATTCCGAAAATAAAATAAACTTTTTACATATTTGATATATTGATATATTATTATATTCATAAATAATTAAATATATATATATATATATATACTTTTAAAAAAAATAAATATTTATTTATTTCTTTTTAAAACGTTCACTTTGTTATTTCAATTTTGTTGATTCACTTAGTTAATTCGATCTTTTAAATAATAATTCTTAAATCTCTGCATAATAAATAATGCCTTTCGAATCTTTTCAAAAAACATGTAAAAATTTACGAAGCTTTTATGAAAAAGGAAAATTTTATGATGTTCAAATAATAATTGAGAATCATCCACCAAACGCTAAAACTTTTTATGCACACAAGTTTTTTCTTTGTTCTCAGTCACCTTATTTTGAACGACAATTAATTCCTGATGACGACGATATAAATGATAAAGAAGAGAATGTTACAAATTTATTAGTGATTAAAGATATATCCACGGAAGTTTTTGAGGTGTTGTTTCAGTAAGTATATTAAATTCTTTTCTTTAATTAATTTATTTAATTCGTTAATTTATTATTTATTAATTCTTAATACTATTTTTTATTTTAATATTTATTCATTTATTAATTTATTAAATCATTCATTAAATTAATTATTATTCATAAATTTAGATACATTTATAGCTCAACTATTGAATTTAATGATAAATCCGGTTTGGAACTTTTCGAAATTTTACTTGGTGCCAATAAACTTAAAATCGAAGTTCTCGTTCATGGAATACAATCACATCTTATCGAATATCAAAATGAATATTTGTGCAAAAATTTTGCCATGATTTATCGTACTTGTCATGAATTTGAAGAATTTCAAATCCTTTTACAATATTGTAATAATATTATTAATAATTCTCCCGAGATTATCTTTTCAGCTTTGGATTTTAATTCAATTCAAGAAAATTTGATAATCAATTTACTTAAACGAGATGAACTTAAAATTAATGAAATTGATATTTGGAATCATATACTTGATTGGGGTCTTCATCGACTTGAAAAATTATCATCATCATCATCATCATCAAAAGATTTAAAAGATCCTAAAACTTTGGATTCAAATGATTTTAAATTCTTAACATCAATTCTTAAAAATTATATTCCATTAATTAGATTCATTCAATTTTCATCCGAGCAATTTAAATCAATGGTTAGACCATATAAGAAAATCTTACCTACTGAATTATATGAAGAATTAATTGAATATTTTTTAACACCGGGAATTAAATTGAATTCTATTAACACTATTCCACCACCAAGACATGGATTGATTGATTCAACTATTATAACATCTAAACATGCAGCTTTTATCGCCAGTTGGGTTGATCGTAAAGACAAACAAAATATTTATTTTTACCCTTATGAATGTGATGAGAATCCTTATGATTTTAAATTACTTCTTCGAGGCAGTCGTGATAATTTTTCTTCAACTGTTTTTCATGAAATGTGTGATAATAAAACGAATACTGTTTGGTAAATATTTTTTATAATAATTTAATTATTTTTCTTTTATTTAACCTTTCATATTATTTATTTTATATTTTATATTATTATTTTTTCAGTGTAATGAAAGTTATCGGTACAAATGAAACTCTCGGCGGATACAATCCATTAGAATGGCGTAAAATCGAAGCCGAATGGGCAACATCCCATAATAGTTTCATTTTTTCATTTCCTACTAATAATTTTTCCGATGCAATCCTCAGTCGTATATCAATTCGAAAAAAATCTATAAATTGGGAAGTAGATGATGGTCCATCGTGGGGATATGATTTAACGATGAAAGGACCTAATCTAAAAAAGAAATGTTTTGCTGGTTGTCCTAATTTTCAATCAATGTATGAGAGACCTATTAGAATAAATTCAAATGAATTTGAAATTTTTGATTATGAGGTTTTTCAAATTAAAAAAAAAAAGATTGGTTAATTTATAATTTAATAATAATAATAATACAAATGGGGTAAATACATTGATAATATAGAAATTATAAGGAATTTATATTATATTTATATTATATAAAAGAAGAATAAATATATAGATATTATTAATATATTATGATATGCTTGTAATATTGTCCAAGTTATTTTTCTTGATAATTTTTTCCTATGGCTAAATCGGTCCATGCATCACTTAAAGTTTCACAAAAATGGTTTTCTTGTTCCTGGAAGCGTGCATAGCAAATCACTTTACTTAGCCTTTGAACAATGAGATATTGTATTGTTTCCAAAAAATTCGTCAATACAATTAATGTAAGAATAAACAATGGCTATACCAAAAATTAAGTAAATTTTCAAACATTTAAATTTGGAAACTTTGAACAGGTCGAAAGGATAAGCTCTACATGAATTCTTAAATGGTCATGATTAACAAAGAAGTTCCATAAAGACATTCTTTCCTCTGGATTAAAATTTAGATTAGCAGTTGTCATATAAATAGTAGAGGATCCAGACACGGTTTCTCATAGGATTTTTGATTAAATGACAGTAATCTGGAGAAAAAAAATGCTGGGATTCATCTTGACACCAATGCTTCTTCATACATATAGGTCGTGCATTTATAGAATTTATTTTAATGAATTGGTTACACTCTTCTTTTGACAGCTTCTTTTCAAGTGAAAAATAATAGCAGAAGGTATTACCATTTTATATAATTATGAGTCAATTCATGATTCTAATATTCTTTATTTGCAAACTAAACATAATTCATGCTGTTATCTCAATTTCATACTGTTTGCAGTCAAATATCTGCCTCTTTACATATTCCTTATGATTTAACTTTCATACCAGGAATAATGATGAAATAGTAATCGATAATTATTGTACTTTTCACTATTAAACTGTACTGTATTGATATGTCAGGATATTACTCCAACATTTTAATTACAGAAAAAAGCATAGTTATTCTTTGGATTATTTGATTTATCAGTACCTTAAGGCTGCAAATGGTTTTCAGGCAAGGTTTTGACTTTGAACTGAAAGAATCGGAGGCTTGACATTTGGCTAGTATACTTACTATACTTACCTTGGCTTTCAAATCAGAAGAATTAAAAGCTCGAGGTTCTGTTGATACGTTTCTGATAAATTATCTAAAAGAATTATTATTAAAGCTATTTTTGAATTTGAATATCAGATAATTTCAAGAGAGAATGTTTTAAATATCTTTTTCAAATCTTTTTGGTGATTGTATAAATTTTTCATTTAATACTGTTAAGAAATTTATAGATAAATACTAAATATTTCCACTCCATAAGTTTCCGAGATAGCATAGCAAAAAATCAATATTTGAACAACTTAACTTAGTTGCTTAAAGGTAGTTTACTTTGACAAAAGTGCTAAAATTATGTTATAAAAATTTTATGAATGTATATTTTTATTTTCCAAAGTATTTGTGAGCAAGGTACTGAGAAATCGTTATACAAAAAAATGGTTTTCATTATGCCAATCAAATAGTAATTTCATTTATAAAAAATATTCCAATTTTAGAAATATCCAATTTTGTGCGTTCATTTATTTTGCCTATTCTTCAAGAATTGTTTTCTAGGAATTTAAATTTTTTGATGTAAATTCCATTTCATTGGAATAGATTTCTCTCAACAAAATGGCACTCACCTGATCTCAATACAGAATAAATTATAAATTTGTGATGTAATATGTAACGTAAAAAATGAATTCATTTCAAAAAAATTGAATTGATCCAAATAAGGTGAAATTATTACGGGGAATTGCAAGTGATGCAGGGATAATATAATAATGTAACAAATACAATAAAAGCGAAAAAAGAACAATGAACAATTATACTGTAAGACGTTGCACAGTGTCAACTCCAAAAATTGTGTTTCACAACTAGAGAAGGGTTGATTCATTTATTTTGCCTTTTTTTTCCTGTAAAGGAAATTAAGATGTTCAACTGACTCGCGTAATAACGTACTAACATAATAAATAATGATACTATATCAGATATTATATTATTATTATGAATTTTTACTGAATCTGAGAAAATTAGTGCTTCATTAGAGAAGATAATACATCTAGAGATAATAGATTAAATATACACTGTATTACATATTTAGAACATTTGACAAATCTGACATTATCAGAAATAAAGAATTTAGCATATTTTAAAATTACAATTAAAAAAAAAAGAAATATTTAATAATTAAAAACATTGATGTTGAATTATAACTATATTTACACCTAATTTTTTCAATTCATCTAATGCAGATAAATCACATTTTAGAAATTTCCATCTGTTCATTATTTCAGAATTGAGTTTCAAAGTTTTCAAACTTGATTTTCTTTTAAAATATTCAACAATGTCATGAAGGAATTCATGTGAAAGAGGTTCTCGAGTGTTCAAAATCTGATGTCCCAATTGAAAAGAGAATTGAATTAAACTAATGTTCTTACATAATTTAAAGAAATCTTTGATCACATTTTGTTGAACGACACATTCCAGTTGAATTAAAGATTTAGGTAAAATCTTGATTAATTGTTCATCAAAGTTTTTCATCAATTCATTTCCCAATCGAATAATTAAATTCAATCTTTTTAATTTTGAAGAAGTCACAACCATTTTAAGCATATTGATTTCCTCTTGATTACGAATATTGAAAGTTAATTCTTTGACATTCTTACATCGTTTGATTGCGTAAACCAAAGAAAAATGATAAGGTTCTAATTTACGAGTGAGATATTCAATAGATTCTAAACTTTGACTAGTCTTAAGAATAATTTCTTTATCAAATAATCCTTTTGATGTTTGTGACCAATCATTATAATTTAATGATAATTTCTTTAATGAAAGTGATTTATGAAATAATATATCATAATTATAATTATAATTATTATAATTGCTGTTGTTGTTATTATTATTATTATTGTTGAATTTCTCCGGTAAATCGCAATATGAAATTTTAAGTTCTATTAATTTTGGAAATAAACAAATCATTTGAATTGAATCTTTGGTAAATGAAACTTTATTAAATTCTAATTTTGTTAAATTATTTGATTGAGTATCAATTAATGTTCGAGAGATTTTTTGAAAATCTTCGGAATCTCTGGAATTAAAAATACTTAAAGAATCAAGATTCCGTTGTTTTTGAATAATATTGATTAGCATATAAACACTATCCGGAGATGCGTCAACCAACCAAGAAATTTTTCTAATTGTAGTACAAACCACTTTATTGTTGTTGTGATGAAAAAAGAATTTTTTGAAATGTTCAAAAGTTATAGGATTGAAAATATCCAAATAACGTAATTGCCTAAATACCGAACGATTTTGTGATTTGATCATGAAATTTGTTCTATTAAAGGAAGCAAGATTTCTTTTGATGGTCTTGAATTGTAAAATCTTTATATCTTTACGAATTAATAAACGCCAAATTGAAGTCGATACACTTTTAACTTGAAGATTAAATTCCTTTGTATTTCTATTTTTATAACCAATTTCATATTCTAACCAATCAGCTATAGTCTCTAATAATTCTTCGATGCAAATATATTCAATATAAGTTGCATAATTGAATAAAGGTTTACATTTATAAGGTAAGTCAGGTAAAATATTATTTAAATTCCATTTCTCTTTCTCAGAAAGACAACTTAAGATAGTTCTTATCCTTTTCGAAGATAATTTACTTTGTATTAAAGTATAATCGAAAAATCTTTTATATAAAAAAGGAATTAAATTTCTGCAAAAGAATCTATCCACGAAAAGTAATTTATAAAGTGAAGGTAAATTGAAATAATCATTTTCATCATTTAAAAATTGAATAATGTTTAAAAGAATATCATGATTAAGAATTAATTGACCCATAATATTTCTAATATTTTCTAATAATAATAAATAATAATAATAAATAAAATAAGAAGAATAATAATAATAAATAAATAATAAATAAAGATATTTTTCTAATAATTAAATAATAATAAATAATAATTAAAGAATATTCTGAATTTCATAAACGAGATATATATAATAAATTGTTGTGTGAATTTTGTTTTTTTTTGTTTTTTTTTTTTTTTGATGAAATGGAAATGACAAATGAAAAATTATTATCTGTTATTATAATAATTAATTAATATAAATATTAATTATCATTATTATTAACAGATAAAAATTATTCAAAGAAAAAAGAAAAAAAAAAAAGTTTGTTTAAATTGAAATATTTTTTTTGTAACTTTCTTGTCAAAACAAAATATATCCTGTATACTATTTTATGCTATAAATGTACGTATGTAAATAAATGTTAATAATGTGCTGATTTATTATGATTTTCAAATACAATATATAAATTAAGCACAATTATATCAATTATATACAATTATATACAATTATATACAATTATATACAAATTATTATACAATTATACAAAAATGGATAGAAAGAAATAAACTTTAAGGATCTTTGAGAATTATTCAATAATATTGTTCGTGGAATAATTAAAAATTATTGAAAATTTATTAATCTTATTATATATTATTTATTATTAATCTTATTATATATTATAATTAATCTTATTATGTATTAAAAACGTATCAGGTGAATCTTTGAATAAAGGGATGCGTTTTTAAAAGAAGAATAAAAAGAATACGCGCTACTAAAAATTATTATTATCATAAATAAAATTATTATTATTGTTGTTATTTAATATTATAATAAAGTGCAATTCGCGTTTTCTAGTCAAAATAAGCCATGTTTACATATAAGCCAAGCCACGGTCAATTCTATTATTATTAATAATAATTTCCTATTTATTCCTATTAAGTAATTCGTTTTTTTCATGTGTAACAAAAATGAGAAAAAAGATGATATCTTTTTTTTTTTCTATTATTTAAATTATGATGTTTATTTTTATTATAATGCACACTGCATCATTGACATAGAATTATTATTGGCAGCAGTTTTTTTTTAAAAATAATAATAATAATAATAAATAATTTTTGTTTTTATTATATATATATTTATTTGTAATGTTTTTTAATGTTCTTAATGTTCTTAATGTTCTTAATGCTCTTAATATTCTTAATATTCTTAATGTTCTTGATATTCTTAATGTTCTTAATGTTTTTATGCTTCTCGCTGTTCAAAAAAATTTTAAAGTATCTCAAAAATGGTTATTTTATCATAAAGATTAAATAATAAAAAACAATCAAAAATGTCAATACATATATAGTTAATTGAGAAATAAAATTAAAAGATCCGCTTTTATGAATTAGCGATGATATAATTATAGCGATGATATAATTATAATGATGATGAATTTCTAATTTAATAGACTTTTATTACAATAAAATAATTATTAAATATTCAATAATTCATTTGATCATTGATTTTTCTAAGAGATTTTTTCTTAAAAGAAGAAAAAACGCGTTTTCTTAAAAAAAAATAATGAAATTATTATCTCCTTTAACATTATCTTATTGTGATTAAATAATATATTTTAATAATATATAATTATTAATATATAATTATTAATATATAATTATTAATATATAATTATTAATATATAATTATTAATATA